TGGGAAATTCTAGAGCACTTATCATTTCACTCGTGCGAAAATAAACCTAGCGCAAAGGTTATCTAAAACTGTAAAACACACACTTCATGGAGGCCAACTTTCTTATTTTATCACAAGTATAACTAAGAATATACTGTTAACGTAATCATACAAGGAACAGCTACATAAACATGCATACCCAAATTTGTTAGCATTCATTTAATATTTTAAACATTTTCACACACGATTCCATGTTTAATAACATTGTTGTGCTAATATCATAAAGTAGTGAAATGGTAAAAAAATAACCTGGGTTTAACCCTTATGGACATATGAGGTTTAAATTCAAAAGTGCTGTATTATTTCATATATACATACCTTCAGCTACACCATCCGATGAAATCCATACAAAAAGAAAATATAAAATCCAAACCCGTTTCGATATTGCCATAACACGCCTAACTATGCAAGCAATATATGACATGTTTCTATTACGGTACGTATATGGGGGTATCCGCCCGTTCACAGTCACACCACATTTAAGCTATACTTGATATTGAAGAATTCTATTCTCACGAGAGGAAATACAAACGTTGCTGGTTGTCGGTTTAATTGCATTCAACAGTGAGCAAATTAACGATCCCTACAAAAAGTGTTGGTTCAGGTACAACGTAAATCAATTTAAAGCTTTTCAACATTCTATAACAAGTCGTGGTTCAGTACCATTCCTACGAAGGGATGGCCGGCTACGATATACAGGGGCTAGTTGTGTAGTGGCTGGGTGAGATAATTCGGGCATGTAATACTTGTCCTATCAACTAGTTGGCATTTCATAATTCTCTAGTGTAAATGCATCAATTACTCACTGGGTTTCAATTTCGCTTTTTTCGCTGGTGATAAAAAACCCATTATACCCATTGCGTTCATTGTTCACAGAATGTAAAACACTGATATTACTACGTACACGAGTACGTGACAAGAAAAGAAAAGAAAGTTTCCATTGTAACACATTCGAAAAGGGTTTCTATAAAGATAAATGATTATTAATTGATAAATGCATATTTATGTACGACTATATGGCAACGCAGTGTTTGCCGAGAAAACCGATGTTGTAACTAAATCAAGTAAGTCTAAAAATTGATTTAGATCACAAAGACACGTCAACAAAGATTGCATTGCATCAATATCGGTGGGGCACTTCGAATTTCTTGGAAATATAAATCGGGAATTAGTTTGAATAGAATTAATATACATATTCACTTCATTACTGGACACAATTTTAAACAAGGTTTAATTTACATATAATGAATATCCGAATCATAGTCTATACAATCTGTTGGTTACGTTGCCAATTTGAAACCATTGTATCGCACCGGATATAATCAATACAAATCACTTGTTGCTGAGAATGCCGTATATGCTTTTATCATTGCGCACAAATGATCAAGGACATTAAAATACACACTTTTTTTTAAACTCGAATATTTGTGTCTGATACTAGAACGGTAATTGTGATCAAAACATACCTAGATATGAATGCAGTCACTGAGTATCCCAGGGTTCACTCTCACACATTAATACACCAGAGAGATCTTGTTAGCCCGTGTGTTTTACCAGTATCCTAGCAACGGCAAATAAACAAATTTGTTATTCATATCACATTAACGATATAAGATAAAAAAAATCATGAATGTTTGACAGCTCATGTTCATTGTGTGTAACGTTATGTATTATGCACATATTAATATTACAGTGATAGTAAATACATATGCTGTTATGTTGTTATTCTTATTTTTAATATAAAGAATAATTACACGATCTTGGCTCATTTTATTTGTTTTGTCAATTCACAACAGCAAAGTTATCGGTTATTATTAATATATTTTATTAGAATAATAAACATAAATTAACATATTGCAACGAGACGCACTGAACAACATCATGGCCAAATATAATTTTTTTGTTCGCGTCGTCATTTTTTACTTGAGAACCTTGAAGAGAAACAGCAACCTGATTCGTCCACTCTTTATGTAATACAATCTAGTAATAATATTGGAATACACTTATATTACATGTATAATCACAATGCGTCGAGTAGTTCATATTCAAGTAAAGTTTTCTACTGGCATATACACAAGTAATTTCAATTCGAATTTCGGTTAAAACTATGTATCGCGTTGTTTACGTCATGTGACCCAAATCGAACACGACAAGGCACAACTACCGTGATGCTTTACGTTACACACAACGCTTTTCTATGATACTCTAACCACCTCTATGACCATTATCAGGTGTTTTTTTATCTTGTTTATTAGTTCGCATTTATTGAATTTAAAAATAATTCTCACCTATGGCATGTTTAACTTCCCTAACAGTATTTGCCGCGGAAATTGATACAAATGGGTTTGTATGTTTTTATGAGAAACAACTGGATAATACATTTTTTTTGTCAAATCGTACTGATAACTGAGAGAGAACACAAAAGCAGATACAAACACAGGATTGACTAGAATTGTATAACCTCATATGTGAATTGTTTCATAGCAATCACAAACGCCCACGTTCTCAATTGTGTAACGTTTAGATGTAGACAAGGCACATCCCCTGAATGCAATTACAGAAACCTAATAGCGACGGCACGGAGAATGAATAAAGAAACGCCGATAAAAAACGTTCGATTTGAACAAGACGTCCGTGTTTTCAACGTAATTAGAAGAATAGCACAAATAGCAGCACTGGAATAGCCATTGTCATACTATTGCGAAATCTTATTATGTGGTTTCCATCAATGGTAAAATGCTTAACAGTGTGATAGTACTGTACATTTATAGAATACACATCGATACATTCAAAACAACAAGCAATAAAATGCATTAGAATGCCTGTTATGAATGTTGTTCAATGCATGCATATTACGTGAATGCATACTGTTGAATGTAAATTGAATAGCTGGTTATTCTGGTGTTATTAAATCATTTAAAATGGATTTAGTCATACCTATACTGCAATTTTATAATATTTCCAATCATTATTTTGCCGAAATATATGTTACAAATTGTGCACTCGACATGTTATGAATGCGATGTAGGCCAACACGTAATGTGATATACTTACGGTGTCGAGGTATAGATATCTGTGTATCTTACTGTATCTATTTCAAAACAATCGATACAGGCGAGAGACAAGAAATTTCATACCAGGCGCAAATGATGAACCTCGATGTTATCGAGGTCAGTCATTACTAATGTTATACTTATATGTATGTACTTCAATTCCAGCGGATTGCTATGGAAACGCACTTCCGTCCCACTCGCAATGTATGTTAATTAAAATCATGACTAAAATTACTATATATATAGCGTTTGTACTTCATATGTTTAATGTACGTGTTGTGTGTATTTTTTATGAAATGTAGATGTTTCCTGATAATTTTAATTCTTACATACAGGTAAAAACATGACTAAAATTACTATATATATAGCGTTTGTACTTCATATGTTTAATGTACGTGTTGTGTGTATTTTTTATGAAGTCATAGTTTAAATTGTCATCTCCAGTCATGTTGGTGCTCCAATTCTGTGTAAGTTTTACTTGATAGAGCATTGATAATCCATTTTTTTACCTGGTGACTTGGGAGTTCGGATTCTTGTACTGAGAAACATAAGTAAGTTGACTGAAGATTGGGGATGTCACGATCATTTAATGTTATAAATACACGTAGACCTATAATAGAGTGTAAATAGTGTAAACCAGCAAGTCTCAAAACTAGAATTGTCTGCGTGGTATACCTTTGAGTTTTAATGTCTGCAGGATAATGCCAATGCATGGTAGAACCACAAACAACCCAACCCAACTATATACGACCCGCGATGTATCATACAGCTTATACAAATTACGAGTATTAATGTAGCAAGCAGTTAATCATGTGGTTGATGATGCGCTCTAAGTGATCCTTTGCTAGTAAAAGTTACCAATGTACAGTGTATGTGAATATAATACAATACATATACGTACATATACTTATATGACATGCATCATTTTTTAGATTAATAAGCATGTATGAGTCTCTGATCATTCTAAACTTAAATCTTTCCCCTTTTATAAAGAGCAATAATAATTAATTAATAATAAATATGTGAATAGCAGCATGTAATCTCATCTGATATGTTTAACATATCTGTCACCTAGTCCCTTAAATATATCGTTGGTAGTATGTCTCTATCTGAAATAAAGCTTGATTCATACTCATTTAATGGCGTTCTATCGCCATATATGGTCATCTAATATGTTGTCCATACTGTTATTATATCACTGCGTACATTTCTCAATCTGCATATTTAATGAGTTCGCATAATGATATAAGGCCATTCAATATGTTGACTATTTATATTATCCAAAGCCTTCACTATAGAATTGATTATATGTTTCCATCTGTAATATAAGTTGTTAATTAAAGATATGCATATATGCTGTGATTTAATGTCCATATGTGGTCATATAATATGTCATATTTCTTGTCCAACGCCTTCAATATAACATTGGTTACTGTCTACACCAATGCTAGAGATATTGTATAACATGAGGTTTGATTCCCTTGACCATGTATATATTTAATATGCTCGCCATTTATCTTGTCCAATGTCTTCGATATAGCATTGATTGAATTATGTATGTAACAGTGCTTAAAATATGCCTATATAACCCACTGTTCATTCAGTGTATATATTATATTATATATATATATATATAACGATTTTATTCGAGATATGACTAGACCATGTGCATGTAATAGAAGGAAGAATGGGCAATATAACCCCAAAATTCATTGTGACCAATATGCCTCATTTTAGGATGTGAATTATATCTCAACAGCCTCCATCAACAATATATTAAAGACTTTCAAGCCAAAAAAAGTCACTTAGAGTAAAAGGCCGTGATTCACAACTAGCATAATCTGGTTAACCAGTCAGGGAATCTTAACACTTTACCATTTGACGCTTCAACATCACTTGACATACAACATGACCCCTTGGCGGGGAAGACGGCTCTTCACCCCGTCAGTAAGTAAAGACTGGGAATAAAGAGTCTGGATTTCTTGATGCATTATTTGAAAAACTTATAATGTCGTAAAATACAGATGACAAGATCTGTTTGCATCTATTTGTCATATAGGAATGGATTACCGGTTTATATTTTGTGCGTAAATGTGTTGAAAGTCACAAGACATTTGGAAAGTCCTCTGACATATAATCAAAAAAAGATTGTATGTGGTAGTGTGGAAAGTAAGCTGACAAATAATCAAAGAAAGATTTATGTGGTGGTGTGGAAAGTCAACTGACATATAATCAAATAAAGATTGTATGTGGTGGTTTGGAAAGTAAGCTGACATATAATCAAAGAAAGATTGTATGTGGTGGTGTGGAAAGTCATCTGACATATAATCAAAGAAAGATTGTATGTGGTAGTGTGGAAAGTCAACTGACAAATAATCAAAGAAAGATTTATGTGGTGGTGTGCAAAGTAAGCTGACATATAATCAAAGAAAGATTGTATGTGGTGGTGTGGAAAGTAAGCTGACATATAATCAAATAAAGATTGTATGTGGTGGTGTGGAAAGTAAGCTGACATATAATCAAAGAAAGATTGTATGTGGTGGTGGTGTGGAAAGTAAGCTGACATATAATCAAAGAAAGATTGTATGTGGTGGTGTGAAAAATCAACTGACATATAATCAAAAAAAGATTGTATGTGGTAGTGTGGAAAGTCAACTGACATATAATCAAATAAAGATTGTATGTGGTGGTGTTGAAAGTAAGCTGACATATAATCAAAGAAAGATTGTATGTGGTGGTGTGAAAAGTCAACTGACATATAATCAAAAAAAGATTGTGTGTGGTGGTGTGAAAAGTCAACTGACATATAATCAAAGAAAGATTGTATGTGGTAGTGTGGAAAGTCAACTGACATATAATCAAATAAAGATTGTATGTGGTGGTTTGGAAAGTAAGTTGACATATAATCAAAGAAAGATTGTATGTGGTGGTGTGGAAAGTCATCTGACATATAATCAAATAAAGATTGTATGTGGTGGTGTGGAAAGTAAGCTGACATATAATCAAATAAAGATTGTATGTGGTAGTGTGGAAAGTAAGCTGACATATAATCAAATACAGATTGTATGTGGTGGTGTGAAAAGTCAACTGACATATAATCAAAGAAAGATTGTATGTGGTCGTGTGGAAAGTCAACTGACATATAATCAAATAAAGATTGTATGTGGTGGTGTGGAAAGTAAGCTGACATATAATCAAAGAAAGATTGTATGTGGTGGTGGTGTGGAAAGTCAGCTGACATATAATCAAAGAAAGATTGTATGTGGTGGTGGTGTGAAAAGTCAGCTGACATATAATCAAAGAAAGATTGTATGTGCTGGTGTGGAAAATCAACGGATGTATAATCGAAGAATATGTGTATGTGGTGGTGTGGAAAGTTATCTGACATATAATCAAAGATTATGTGTATGTGGTGGTGTGGGAAGTCTTCTGACATATGACTAAAGAAAGAATGTATGTGATGATGTGGAAAGCATCTGGTATATAATAAAAAAAAAAGATTATGAGATTATGTGGAAAGTCATTTGACATATAATTAAAAAGTGTGCATGTGGTGGTATGGAAAATCAACTTACATAATTAAAGAAAGATTGTATGTGGTGGTGTGGAGAGTTATTTGACATATAATCAAAGAATTTATTCAAATTGATCCGATGAAAGGAAATTATATGTAAGAAATCGTAATTTGTATTAAATTCTATAAACGTGATATATAAGGTAAACATGGCACCACGTATATGAACAAATAAAACTGTAACGTTGACCTTTAACATTCAGACTAAAATACGGTCAACATTATTCAATTGTTCATCACATGCGCAATTTGGTACCCTTTCAGTACAAGGTCATACAAATTCAAATTTATTTGTTGATGAATGGGCAATGACATATAATAGCAATGAGGTTAGCGACACAAAACGGAGGTAACACTTAAGTTCTAGGTGTTAATAACAGTGTAATTTGCACTAGGAAGTGTTCGACATCTGAAACTGAGTGTTACAAGTTCGAATACAGTAACATTCAAAAGTGATATAATAATACCAAATAATATTGATTGTGTCCATGCGTGGGTTTAAACATTAGTCAGATGTGTCACCAAGGGGTTTACTTCACAAGTGACAAGTCTACAAGAATTTCATATACTTGAGCTGTGATTTATTCATAACGATAATTCCGGTCTGCTATACAAACTGCAGCAAACCATCTGTAGTGTGAAACCAAGCACATTTATGAACATCGTATTCACAATCTTAAGATCTGTAAAAACTGAAAAATACAGACAAATACAAATATGAATAATATCCAATAACTGTAACAACACAATTCATTTCAGAATAATGATATACAATACATATCAGCAACACATGGCTAGTTGTACGACGTGCTCAAACACGTGCATTTTTCAATGACAAGTAAATCTTGACTCAAATAACCAAAATAATATTGCTGCGATGGATACCCTCTAAAGTTATATTTACCTCATTGGCTACTAGTGAAGATTTAGGAAAATAAATACTCAAAGAGAGATGACCACAATGAAAGATGAACTTCCTACACGTCTGTACCATCGAGTGGCAATACAGGGCATGAACACATAATAGCGAGTCACATGCAAATACCGAATTAGTATTGAGTGAAAGTATCAAATACATAGACAAGGTAAATATTACTGACAATACAAATACTCAAACACAACAAAGAATCAATAAATGGCGAAACTCGAAAATCAAAAGGTGAACTATTTCCAATGCGAAATGTCAACACCAAGAAAGCGAAACCATTGTTTTTTGTCCGACTTTCCTCTCATCACAAGACATAAGTGTTCAAATTTGTCACTAGAGGGCGGTAACCACATCGAGAATTAACATTATAGTTTCCTAATCGTATCTAAACCGTCTCAATTATTATATAGTTTAATATCACGAGAATAGAAATTTTTAAATGTATCAGAATATAAATTCAGGAAAATGAAAATGAATTAATAAGCACAATGTATAATAATATATGTAACACCAGTACATGGGTATGGACTCAGGATGAAATTGTTGATATACCAACAGTCTGTGTGACACAATTTTCCTGTAGAGGGGTCCTACCAGTTCGTAATTGAGGATTGATACTACTTGCTGGCCATGCGATCCCTGTCGGTACATTTGTAATCGAATTCCCCCTTGTTTTCTTACCGCAAAATATGAACAGAATTCCTCTTCTAAAGTGATCACTCTTAAATGCGTAAATAAACGGGTTCACGCAAGAGTTAGCATAGCCAAGTAAAATACAAAACTGAAAATAGTTTGCATCATAGTCCAACGGTGCATCAAAGTTATAAGCTAAAAATACAAAGTGTATAGGCATCCAACATATATTGAAAATTACACACACAAATAGTAGTAGCTTCACCAATTTTCGGCGAGTTCTCAGCAGTGTGTACGCAGTGTTTGTATTCGATTGGTTGTCCCTGGAAATAGATTTTGCATGTGTTTTCAGATAAATCAATACCTTCGTATATGCCACTAGTATGACAAACAAAGGTATAATATACGACACCGTCAAATTTACAACTGAAACAAACTTTCTGAATGCGTCACTTGGCCAGCCGGAAATGCACTGTCCATTTTTATATGCGTACATATAAAACAGAAAACTTTCCAAGACAAATGCACAAATCCAAACAAATGTTAAAAGTACAATTGCTCTTGATTTTGTGAAATATACCTTGTGCTTTATGGCATACACAATGGCACATAGACGTTCAATAGTAACTGCAACCAAGTTAAAAACAGATGCTTTAACGCAAATCCAAGTAAGAGCCCCAGAGTAGAACAGTCTACAGTACAGCTCACCAGCAACTCCGCCTGGAATTGAAATCTTAATGGTACGGACTAGAAAAAGCAGCGATGAAATCAAGTCGGCAACAGACAAACTAACGATGAAATAATTTGTCGTTGTTCGCAGTTTCTTTATTGACAAAAAAACGATACAGACCAAACTGTTTCCGACAAGCCCTGTGATGCCAATTATAACAAGACAAATGTCGATCCACGTGATTGGTCCAGATGTGAAATATACAATTATTTTCTTCGGATTAGTGATATTCACCATGCTTCGCAAAACATTGGAACTTTCTTCTTATCTTTATATATCACGTTTCAATCTATTGAAGTTAAATAACGCCCTCTGTGAAACGCTACAAAAAGAAACAAATAGAGATACCTTAAATACCGTTTTATTTACCTACGTATTTTACTGATCGTGACAGCTCTGTCGCATGGGCAGCATGATACCCAAAAACACATCATAGCTTAATCTACATTGAATTTGAATGAACATACAGAAAGCCGGCAAATTTAAAAATAGCACCGGAAAAGAACTGGTAGCTTCGATAAGCGATAAATAGACAATAAATGTTGTTCTGCCGTTCTCCAATAATCATTTACTCTTAGATTTGATAAATTTCAAAAAGTGTATAATGATGTACGATAGGCAATTGAACACTGATTAAAGATACTAATAGTTTTTTAGTTTAGAGTTCCAATACTTTATATATGTTCATTCAGTTTTTATCGGGAAATTGTGAAAAAAATGAAATTTGCCCTTGCAATGTCACATATTTGACCAATCAATCAAGTACGCAATATTGCATGTTGCATAATAACATGTTCTTAAATAAAAAAGATAAAGAGATATGGTACATGAAATGTGTTTTGTGGACATATATTTATGCGTAGATTTTTTAACATATCTTGTCCCAGTGTTCCCGTCTTTTTACTCCATCTCATCAATGATCCCGTGTTTTGTGTATATCTACTACATGTACGCTGTATTCCATGAAAACACAACATTACAACGGCTTTACAGAGCTATGAATCTTGTGACATCCGGATTGCAAACCTTTCATAGTGATGTACGAACCCCTAAATCTAGCTGAATGTACACAATAATATCACATCATTGTTCTATCCTGTGTCTTCATCGACATAATCGTGTTAGAGAAAGTAGCATTAATTTGTATAATTGCTAGGAGTGGTATGGCACATACTGACTGAATACTACATTGTGATAGCGTCACATTTGTACAGTTCAATCTGGCTCAATACCAATTTATTATTGACGTCATTCAACTGCCTAGATTGATTCGAATGCGGATGGAATGGAATATTGCGATATTGGAATATATTTGCACAATCATATATTCTTGTGTTGTGCTTTGTAATAAGTAGTCTCCAATTATTTCTAACTACTCACTCTCTTGCACTGCTCTGTCCAGAGTTTTATCGGGCCTTTACCTCGCCCACAATCTGAGTCTCTCGACACATATCAATGCCATTGATGTAACACTTTTTTAAATTGTCTGGTTTACTTTTGATCTGGTTCCTGGGCGTATTGTCAGCAAGCAATATCAACTGACTAGGACAGATACAAACCTTTTTCAATGTCTTAAAATTCATTTTACATTTGTGTATGGAATGCATAAATTAATGAAAATTGAAGGGAGAATTTGTGGTAAATACTACGTTTCCAGGAGGTTTATAGAGATTTTATCTGTCGGAGTTGACCGTCAAGCAATACAAACAAAAGATAAATCGACTGACATTCAGAAATTACATTAACATATTTTAGAAACAATAATAACACAGTGCCATTGAGAAAAACTAATGGTATTGCACACAATATAAATATTTAATATAATAATGAACTTGTATTCTACTTGCGTTCAACAGGCAGACAAATTATATATAAAATGCCACGAGAACACCGACAGCAACATGATGCACACACACCCACGTACACCCACAAACGAAAGTAGATAATAATCTGAAGTAACGAGATGAATTACTAAAACCAAATGACAAACACCATACTTCCTGTGTTAGTTTCAATTTGCATGCAAGATATATGAGTAAATCTGTATGTAATAATTAACATGGCTTTTACCAACGCATCAATATTAAACTATTAGGTTGAGTAATAGGGTGGAATGTACGTGTTTTATTGTGTAATATAATTGCATTTATATTCTATGACATGAATGTATAGTTTTTCACAGGAATTAATTTCAAGCCAACTTTAAATAGTTATGTAACGCTTTCATTTGCACATTTTTTATTTTTTTATTTTCATCGATTATTTATTTAGCCGGATTTGTCGAACCCCCTAAATTTTGGAAGTTAATAGATTTATGATCGTAGATTAAAACATAACAAAACAAACAGCATTAATTAAAATAATTATCATTGTTTAAATCGCTTGACTCCGTAATGAGTAATGCATAGTAAGATGCATTTAGGTCGCAACGAGCTTTAAATGTCAATCGTGAAGTTATGCCGTCTCGGCTCAACAGCAGCCAACCAAAACAGGTTGTTATAAATAGGCAGGCTTTTATTCGGTTTTTCCGCGATGGTGTAATGAAGATCGCGTTCAAGCACCTGATGTTAAATATTAAA